AAGACCACGGTGAGGGGCACAGGGGGCAGCAGGGGCTTGGGGATGGGTGGCCAGGGAGGTGGAGGGTGTCCTGGTTATGGACCCCGTGAAAATCTGGGGTGTAGGGAGGCCTGGGCACCACCTGCATCCTGCAATAATGATTATTTTGAAATGCCACCACCCCATTCTAGTGGGGCCGAGTGCTATTGGCTTTATCGGGGTCTTCCCTCTGTGCAAGATGCATTTATTGGGGTCTCTCCTCCATGTAACACCTGTTATTAAGATCTCCACTCTACACAAGATGTTTTTTTTGGGTCTTCCTGTATTATTGGGGTCCACCTGCTGTGTATGATGCATTTAGTCAGGCCTTCCTTCTATACAAGGAGTGTTTATTGGGGTCTCCCTGCATTTATGGTGCTTCCCCTCTATACTGGGGTCTTCCCTCTATACAAGTTGCATTTGTTGGGGTCCCCCTTCCATCCTGGGGGTCTCCCCTTCCCCAAACACCGTTCCTGGGTTTGCAGTGGCTGCGGGCAGACGAGGTGGAGAAGGGCAGCAGTGGGACCCCCATCCGCATTGAGAACCCCAACCAGTTCGTGCCGCTCTACACGGACCCGCAGGAGGTGCTGGAGATGCGCAACAAGGTGGGCTGGGCTGGGCTGGGGGACAGCGGGGCCTGGGGGGGCTCAGCCCTGTCCTTGGAGGGGGATTGAGCCCTGTCCTCCCCCACAGATCCGCGAGCAGAACCGCCAGGATGTGAAATCAGCCGGGCCCCAGTCGCAGCTGCTGGCCAGCGTCATCGCCGAGACCAGCCGCAGCCCCGTATGGCACCTGTCACCTGTGTCACCCCGTGTCCCCAGCCCTGTGTCACCCCATGTCCCCAGCCCCATGACACTCCGTGTCTCCAGTCACAGCTGCTGGCCAGTGTCATTGCTGGGACCAGACACAGTCCTGTCCCCCCGTGTCACCCCCTGTCCCCGCTATATCTCCTAGCCAATATCACCCCGTGTCACCTCTTGCCCCAAGTGCCCCTTCCAGAGTACCCAGCCCTTCCCTGGTTCCACAGGTCTGGGGCAGTGACACCACTCCGAGGGCAGAGGGGACACTGCTCGGGGGTGGGGGACACACTGCTTGGGGTGAGGGGTGGGGCTGTTGACACAGTTCCAGAGGGTGTGACACCCCTCAGGAGGGGTGACATCTCTCCAGGGGGGGTTGACACTGCCCCAGGGGTGTGACACCACTCTGGGGGTCTGTTTCAGTCCACTGAGAGCCACCTGGGGGACGCAGAGGCCAAGGAGGGCAGGGAAGAGACTCCCCCCGAGCCAGAGCCCCCCAACCCCTTCAGCCAGCTCACGGACCAGGAGCTGGAGGAGTACAAGCAGGAGGTGGAGAGGAAGAAGCGCCTGCAGGGTAGGAGAGACCCCCAAAGCCCCACAGAGCCCCGGGTGGCACTGAGGGGACCCGGGGCCAGCGTGTCTCTCTGTGGCAGGCGAGAAGGACGCGGCAGCAGAGGACAGCGGGGCTCCCCCTCCAGAGCCACCCCCTCCGGAGCCCCCGGCGCCTGCGGAGCCCACGGAGGGTGAGTGGGGTGACGAGCACCCCAACACGAGGGCTGGGGTCCCAGTGAGCAGCAGGAGTGGGGGGACAAGGGCGGCTGTGGCCAAACGGCGCTGAGACGCAGCTCGCTGTCACCTCGCGTCACCTCGAGCTGTCACCCCGCTCCAGAGGGGCCGATGGCGATCGTGGCAGGAGGACGTGAGCTCTGTCGGTGGCTTTGTGGGGTGCAGGGGACAGCCCTGTCCCCCAGCCCAGTCCCCACGCTCCGTTCCCATTGTTCCGACCCACAGCGGGTGCCGGGGCGCGGCTCGGGGCTGCTGGCTCTGCCATGGTGTCTCGTGGTGTCCGTCTGTCTGTCTGTCTGTCTCCACAACGTCTCCTTTCTCTTTCCTCCCCGTGTGCCTGTCACCCAAGGAGTTATCCCTGAATCCCTGGCGCCGTAGTAAGTACGGAGAGGCCACCCCGGACGAGGGACAGGGGCTCGGGGGGATCTTCGGTCTCCATGGAAATCCCTTAGGAAATCCCCTGGGGAATCCCTCCTTGTTGTTGCTTCCTGCTTCTCCCGCTGCCTCTTCCCGGCTCTCCATCCCACATCGCTTGTCCCGCAGGGAGGGGGCGGCTCAGGGGGCTCAGGGGAGCGGTGCCTGAGGCAGGACAGGATCAAATCCCAACGTTCTCCACTCGTGGAGGCCAAATCCTGCTCCTGCCCAGGCCCCACTGGACTTTTGGGGGATAAACCCCCCTACAGCACTGGTGCTGCTGCCCCAATTCCCTGTTCCCTCTCCCCTTCCCAAGGTGATAAGAAGGCCGATGGTGGCCAAGCCCCCCCTGATTCCACTGCCAAGAAGGAGCCACCAGCCGTGGTGAACGGGAAGGATGAAGAGCAAAGCACTGAGGAAAACCTTGGAAAAGGGGGGACAGACCGGACAACCACCAACGCTGACCAGGACACCCCCAAGGAGAAGGAGACAGTGACCAGCAACCCCGTGTCCCCCGACGGTTCACCCTCCAAATCACCCTCCAAAAAGAAGAAGAAATTCCGGACCCCGTCCTTCCTGAAAAAAGGCAAAAAGAAGGAAAAGATCGAATCCTGAGTCTCCCGAGGCCTCGCGCGTGGGATCCCCGGGATCTCTGAGACCCCCGGAACCCGGCTGTTTTCCGGGCCCTCCTGGCACAAGGCACCTCGTCCCCCTTGTCACCCGCCTCTGGGGGCGGTCACCGAGCTTAGAGAGACTGTGGTCCCCGTTTGGGGAAACTCCCGCTGCACCTCCCTCCCCCCTCTCCCTCCTGGGCTCCGGCCCCTTCCCACCGTGGGCCGAGAGTTGGGTTTTCTCCACCAGAGCCCAGATCTGCTTGATTTGAGGAAGAAAAGGGTGTTTTGTGGTTATTTTCTTCACCTTCTGTTTCAAGCTCTGCTGGAATGGCGCTGGCTTCATCCCCAGGGAAAACTGTCCATCGCTTTGCCAGGAGAACGGGATCGAGCTGAAGGCGGGGGATTGCTTTTCCTCAAGGAGGAGCTGAGGTTTTTCCTCCCTGGATTGTAATCTTCCTCTCCGTGGGCTCAAGAACCACTTCATCCCCTTCTCCTGGTATTCCCAGCCTGTGTTTTCCCCCACCCAAGGAAGAGCAGCAGGATTTCCCACCGCTGGAAAAGCCCCCACCTCACTGCACGACCCGCACCTGGGAAAATAGGGAAAAAAAAAACACCCTCCGGGAATTGTCTGTGTTGTTTAAAACTGAGCAAAACTCACTCACTAAGTGCTACTTCGGGATGAACACACGCTGCCAGTTCCTGCTGGCCCCCTGCTTTTCCCAGCTCTGGAATTCCCAGCACAAGTTCCATCCTTCCTAGCGTTCCCTTCCCTCCCAGCGTTACAACCTCCTGGCCACCCCCTGCCTGGGAGAGCCCCAGCCGTGCCGGTGTCCCCCACAGCCCTTCCAGCGCTGGGATTTGGGGATAAATCACCAGGATCAGCCCCACATCCTCCCCCTTTCCTGGGGGGCTCGCCCTGAGCCTTGCTGCGTCCATGGAGCCCTGCCCAGGTGGTCTGGAATGCCCCAGAACCCCTGTTTGGGGCTCCCCCACCCCAGCAGGGTTTTCCCACGTGCCAAACCCTTTCACTGCTGTGAGACAGCTCGTGGGGGTTGGATCCCCTCTGGAAGAGCAGGAAGCCCATGGAACAGGGGGTGCAGGAAACAGCAGGGAGAGCCCAGGCAGGGATTTTGACAGAGCCCCAACCTGAGCCTGGATTTTGGGAAGAGCCTTTGCCCTGCCCAGTGTCCCCTCAGAGGTCCCCATCCCACTCCTGCAGGATGGGGGGCACCGAGGGGACACTCTGAGCCCCTAAACCCTGTCACTGGGGGGGCTGTTCCTCACTGCCACTGATTTTAAGGCTCTTTGAGGCCATTTTTGCCCCTGGGCCTGTCCCACCCGGGTGACCCAGGGCAGCAGAGCCTGCAGAGACAGCCGTGTCACCTCCCTGGGGTAGCACTGTCACACCTGGGGGCAATTCCTGAATGACAGCACTGCCACACCCCCAGCCCAACCCGGGGGCTCCCCCAGGGGTTTTGTCCCCACTTTGTCATTGAAAGTGTGTCCCCAGGGCCTTTGTCACCCCTTTTCTCCCCAAGGTTCTGTCCCTGGGGCCTTTGTCGACCCTTTTCCCAAGGGCCACTGGCTTTGCAGGGATTGACTTCCGTCTCCATGAAATTCTAGGGAGCTCCAGGTAGAAAGTGATGAAGGCTCCAGTGCCACCATCATCACCATGATGGAGAGCAACAGAGCCATGATCACATCCCGGGACCACCCCTCGGGAAATTCCCCCAGCCCACCACCCTGCCTCCCCCTCCCCTCGCTCCAGCAAGGCTCAGGGTAAGGCAAATCCCTGATCCAGGACCTCCACATCCGCAACTCCGCTGGAAAACAGAGGCTGATGCCACCTTGGCAGCGGGGAAGGGCGAGTCCAGCTGGGCTCAGCACCTCTCCTCCCACCCGGGGCTGCCCACCGGGAAAGGTCCGGGTGGCAGGGTGGGCGTTGGACCCCCGGAATGGCACCGGGAGGAGCCGGGGTGTGGCATGTCCCCGCGTGTGACAATCGCGGCCGGGAGCGCGTGGAACGCCGGTGTAAATAAACCCCGTGTTTGGCACCCGGCAGCTCGGAGCCTGAGGGATGGGGATGGGGATGGGGATTGCAATATGAATGGGATAGGTGTGAAGGTGGGAATGGGGATGGGGATGGAAGTGGAGGTGGGGACGGGATGGGGATGGTGATGGGAATGGGATGAGGGTGAAGATGGGGATGGTGATGGGAAGGGGATGATGGGGATGGTGATGGGACAGGGGTGGAGGTGGGAATGGGGATGGGAATGAGATGGATATGGGGATGGGATGAGAATGGAGGTGGAGGTGGGAATGGGAAGGGGATGATGGGGATGGGATGGGGCGGAGGTGGGAATGGGACAGGGATGGAGCAGGGATGGTGCCATCCATGGGCTCAGGAATGGGGCTCCCGCGGAGCTGCTGGCACGGGGTGTGGCGGACACAGGGAAGGTTCCAGCAGCTTCTCAGAGAAGCCTCTCCTGAACCCCCCACTAGCGAAGCCGGCACAGCCGCAGCACGTTCGGACTCTGGGCTGGGCCGGACAGGGACAGAACCGGGAGAGGGCCGGGAGCGGGCCGGGAAAGAGCCGGGGCCGGGCCGGGGCCAGGCCGGGCAGGCAGAGCCAGCACCGGCCCGCGGAGGGTGACGGTGGCGGCCCCGCCTTCCTGCCCTCCTCTTCCTGCTCTCTCCTCTTTCCAGCCCTCCTCTTCCTCCCGGCCCTCCCCTCGCACTCCGGCCTGGGCGGGCTCTCGGGGCGAGCGGCGGGACCGGGCCGGTGCGTCCCGATGCGGTGCTGACCTGAGCGGCCCCTCCGGCCGGGTCCCCTCAGGTTCGGCCCCCTCAGGCTCGGTCCCCTCGGGCCCGGTCCCCTCAGGGCCGGTCCCCTCAGGGCCGGTCCCCTCAGGCCGGGTCCCCTCAGGGCCGGTCCCCTCAGGCCGGGTCCCCTCGGGCCGGCGCCGCCGTGGGAGCAGCAGCGCGGGGCTGAGGGGCGGCCATGGGCCGCAGCCGCTCCCGGTCACCGCCGCGGCGGGGTGAGGAGGCACCGGGGCACCGGGAGGACCCAGGGAGGGACGGGAACGGCGGGGAGGTCAGGGGGAACCCGGGAGATCGGGATGGAAGGGCCGGGCTTGGGGGGACTGAGACCCTGCAGGGCGGGGAGGCCCTGGTTCCTCGCTCTGGAGGACAGCAGAGACTGCTCCCTCATCCTCCTCTTCTTCCTCCTCATCCTTCTCTTTTCCTTTTCTTCTTCTCCTCCTCCTCTTCTCCTCTTCCTCCTCCTCTCCTTTTCCTCCTTCTCATCTTTCCCATCCTTCTCTATTCCTTCTCTTCTCCGCTTTCTTCTCCTCCTCCTCTTCTCCTCTTCCTCCTCTCCTTTGTCTTCTTCTCTCCATGCTTATCTCCTCCTCCTCTCCTTCTCTTCCTTTCCTGCCACCCTTCTCCACCTTGCTCAGGTTTTTGGGGACCATCACCCCCTCCTGGCTGATCCCCCCGGGTGATTTCCCCCGCTCCAGCTGGAGACTTTTCCTGCTGCTCCTTCCCTCCTGGGGGTGCCCAGAGGGGTCCGTGAGCCCAGAACTGTCCTGAGGGCTGGGAAGGGCAGTCCCGGGGTCTGCGCTGGGATTTTCTGTGGGATTTCCTTTGGGAAGCGGGCAGGGAGCAGCAGCTGACCCTTCCCCGGGCAGAGCGCCGGCGCTCGCGTTCCACGTCCCGGGACAGGGACAGGCGGCGGCGGGAGCGATCGCGGTCCCGGGACAGGGACAGGAGGAGGAGCCGCTCCCGCTCCCCGCACCGGAGACGATCCAGGTGAGGGCACAGACATCCAGGTGAGGGTGGGCACTGTCCAGGTGATGGCAGGAATGATCCAGGTGATGACAGGGACATCCAGGTGATCATAGGAATGATCCAGCTGAGGGCAGGGACATCCAGGTGATGGCAGGGATGATCCAGGTGATGGTGGGAACTGTCCAGGTGATATTAGGAATGATCCAGATGATGGCAGGGATGATCCAGGTGAAGGCAGGGACATCCAGGTGATGTTAGGAAAGATTCAGGTGATGGCAGGGATGATCCAGGTGAGGGCAGGGACATCCAGGTGAAGGCAGGGATGATCCAGGTGATGGCAGGGATGATCCAGGTGAGGGCAGGGACATCCAGCTGATGTTAGGAATGATCCAGGTGATGGCAGGGGTGATCCAGGTGATGGCAGGGATGATCCAGGTGATGGCAGGGGTGATCCAGGTGAGGGCAGGGGCACCATCGAGGGGTGGGCACAGCTAGGTGAGGGCACCCTGGGTGGCCCAGGGACAGCAGGAGCTGCAGGTGGGGATTCCAGGTGGGAATTGCAGCCCCAGCTCGCGTGCCCCAGCAGGTCCCCGCGGCGGCACCGCTCCAGCTCCTCGTCACCAGCACGGCCCAAGGAGCGCCGGGATGAGGAGAAGAAGGAGCTCAAGGACCCCAAGAAGGAGCGGCAGATCACAGGTGAGGGGGGCTTTCCCTCCTGGAGCACCCCCAGGTGCCCCCTGGGGCCAGGACACATGGATTTTTGGGAATCCAAACACCCCATTGCTCAGTCCCTGATTTTTTTTCCCCTCAGAAGAGGATTTGCAGGGCAAGACAGAGGAGGAGATCGAGATGATGAAGATGATGGGTTTTGCCTCCTTTGATACCACCAAGGTGAGCAGCACGCCGGGGGCTCTGCGGTGTCAGCTGCCCTGTTTGGGGATAATCCATGGGATTTTGGGACGTTTCTCCTCAGGGGAAGAAGGTGGACGGTGCTGCCAATGCCTACGCCATCAACGTGTCCCAGAAGAGGAAGTACAGGTGTGTCCCCCTGCTTTGGGATGGAATGAGGAGCTTGTTTTGTGAGGTGGCTGTGGCCACTGTCTCACCGTGATCCAGCTTCCAGGCTGGGGAAATGGAAATTTGGTGAGGTTTAGACTCAAAAGCAGAGGTGAGAGTTCTCCAGACGCCCGTGGGAATGGGGAAACCAGGAGGATGAGGAGTGAGGAGCACCTTGGGAACGGGTGGGGTGTGCCCAGTGAGGCCTGGACAGGATCAGAGCAGCAGGGAGCCACACTGCTCACCTGCTTTATCCCAAAAAACCACCCAGACTGTCAATCCTGCTCCCTTCTGATGGCAGCCTGGGCTCCTCTGGAGCAGCTCCTCGCTGGGAGCCTTCCTGCCCTCCTTTTGCTCAAATCCCTGGGGAATTGGGTTCCCTGGGGCTGACCCTGGCTCCGTCCTCACCCAGGCAATACATGAACAGAAAAGGAGGATTCAACAGGCCCCTGGATTTCATCGCCTGACGCTGGCTCACGGCTCCCTCCATGGAAGGATTTTGCTTCCCTGCACTCTCCTGGGTGGCTCCAGTGCTGGATTCCAGTGGAATTTGGGTTATTCCCAACAAATCCCACAGCCAGAGCCGCCACCAGTTCTCAGATATTTGTTTGGTTTGTTGTTTTTTTTTTACAACAAAGGTCAGTTTCTGGCTGGGATTTTGCCGTGTTCTCCCTGGTTTTGGTTTGTTTCCCTGTTAATAAAACCCCGGATGTATTTTTTCCTTTAATTTTTATCATTCACAGATAAAGCAGGGCCTCCATTCCCCCTCCCACAAACCCTTGGGGTGACACAGGGTCTGTCCCTGGCCCAGGGGTCCCTGTCTGGGGGTTCCTGTCCCCATCCCGGGGGTCCCTGTCTCCATCCCGAGTGTCTCTGTCCCTTTCCCTGTCCCCATCCCCGGGGTCCCTGTCCGGGGGTCTCTGTCCCTGTCCCTGTCTGGGGGGCTCTGTCCCCATCCCGGGGCTGTGTCCCCATCCCGGGGGTCTCTATCCCTTTCCCTGTCCCCATCCCGGGGATTTCACTTCCCTGCACTCTCCTGGGTGGCTCCAGTGCTGGATTCCAGTGGAATTTGGGTTATTCCCAACAAATCCCACAGCCAGAGCCGCCACCAGTTCCCAGATATTTGTTTGGTTTGTTTTTTTTTTTTACAACAAAGGTCAGTTTCTGGCTGGGATTTTGCCGTGTTCTCCCTGGTTTTGGTTTGTTTCCCTGTTAATAAAACCCCGGATGTATTTTTTCCTTTAATTTTTATCATTCACAGATAAAGCAGGGCCTCCATTCCCCCTCCCACAAACCCTTGGGGTGACACAGGGTCTGTCCCTGGCCCAGGGGTCCCTGTCTGGGGGTTCCTGTCCCCATCCCGGGGCTGTGTCCCCATCCCGGGGGTCTCTATCCCTTTCCCTGTCCCCATCCCGGGGCTCTGTCCCCATCCCGGGGTCTCTGTCCCTGTAACCATCCCGGGGGTCCCTGTCCCCATCCCGGGGCTCTGTCCCCATCCCGGGGTCTCTGTCCCTGTCCCTATCCCGGGGGTCTCTGTCCCTGTCCCTATCCCGGGGGTCTCTGTCCCTGTCCCTCTCCGTGCTTACGTTGCCCGACGTAGCCAAGGCCCCGCCCCCTCCCCCGTCCGGCCTCGCCATTGGCTGAGCGGCAGGAAGTGAGTCAGGGCAGAGCGTGCGGCCAGCGGGGCGGGGCCGGCTGTGTGGGCGGGACGCCACCGGGAGGGTCGGGCCAATAGCAGGAGGGCGTGGCGCTCTCATCCAATAGCAGCGAGTAGGGGGCGTGTCCTCAGGCGCGGACACGCTCCCTCTCCGCCGCTCGTGGAGGCGCTGGGCGGGGTCTCCCCTTTATCCTCCAATCATCGGCGGGGCTAGGCGGGGCCTGTCTCAGCCTCGGCCAATGAGCGGCGGCGGGGGCGTGGCGCGCGCGGGGTCTGGCGGAGCGGCGCTCGGGGCGGGCAGAGGCCGCCGCTCCCCCCCCGGGGCAGCTCCGGCACCGCGGCCCGGCCCGGGAGCCGCCGCTGCCACCGGCCGGGCTGACAGCCCCGGGGCGTCCCGTGTGTCCCCTGAGGCCGCTGTTCCCGGGCCTCCGGCGGGGCCGGGGTCACCGCCCCGCTCCCCGGGCGCTGACGGGGCCCCGCTGTCACCGGCTGTGCGACAGGGCCGGGGGACCCTCCTGCCTGGCTCTCTGCCCACGTCCCTCTGTCCCCAGCTGTCCCCGGGCCTGGGGTCGGGCCGGGCCGGCTCCGGGTGCCCGGGCTCTGCTGGGGCCTTCCCGGGGGTGCACCAAGGCCGGGACACCCTCCTGTCCCCAGGTGTTTGGGGGACGGGGTGCTCCTGCTGTCCCTGGGTGTGTGACAGCACTGGGGACCCTGCTGCCACCCGGTGACCCGGCTCAGGGAGCTGCTGTTGTCACTGGGTGTGTGACAGCACTGGGGACCCTGCTGCCACCCGGTGACCCGGCTCAGGGAGCTGCTGTTGTCACTGGGTGTGTGACAGCACTGGGGACCCTGCTGCCACCCGGTGACCCGGCTCAGGGAGCTGCTGTTGTCACTGGGTGTGTGACAGCACTGGGGACCCTGCTGCCACCCGGTGACCCGGCTCAGGGAGCTGCTGTTGTCACTGGGTGTGTGACAGCACTGGGTGGGGCTCTGCTGTCACCAAAGTCCACCTGTCAGCAGGTGTGACACCGTGGGTGGCACCTTTCTGTCCCTGGGTGACCGGCCCGGAGAGGTCCTGCTGTCCCAGCCCTGCCAGGGGACCCTCCTGTCACCTGAATCACCCCAAACCCACCCAGAGCCTCCCCTATCCCTCCGTGCTCCTTCCCCCCCTTGCTCCTGACTCTTTTAAATCCTGAACCAGTTTTTCTCCACGCTGAATCCCAGCACCAAACCCCACCTGGAGCCTCCATTCCACCCTGAACCCCCTCACCCCGCCGGGATCCTCAGCTCTTTCAGCAAGGGCCACCTCCGGGGCGCTGTGAGGGGCAGCAGCTCCATCCCCACCCGTCCCCAGGTGCCAGGGAGGAGCCGGGTGCTGGTGGCAGCACATCTGTCACCCTTTTCCTGCTCGGGAGCGCTCCCGTCTGCGCGACGCCACCGCCCCGACCTTTGGCAGCTGCCGGGGCCGGGTTCGTGATTCCCCGGTGCCCCGGGGCCGGGTTTGTGATTCCCCGGTGCCCCGGGGCTGGGTTCGTCATTCCCCGGTGCCCCGGGGCTGGGTTTGTGATTCCCCGGTGCCCCGGGGCCGGGTTTGTGATCCCCCCGGGCCCTTTCGGGGTCGGGAGCCCCTCGGGGAGCAGAATCCCACGGGCTCCAGGGGTTTGTCCTGCCCGGACACGCTCTGGGTTTCCTTTCCTGGGAGTGTTTGGTTTGCTTCGGGCGCAATCTTTTGGGGTTTTCAGGAATAAAAAAGCAGATTCCAAAGGGAGAGCTGGTGATCAGCTGAGGTTCAGGGTGCTGGGAATCCAGATCAGCAGCTCTGTGGGCATGGAGAGGATGTGGGAGCCTCAGATGTGGGAGCTCCACCTGCCCCGGGGGGAAGCTGCCATCCCCTCTGTCCCTGTTTGTTTTGTCCAAAATTCAAATCCAATCTTTTCCCCTCTAAATGTTGGTGATGGTGAATGCAAGTGCAGAAGAGAAAACAGCCATTCCAGGAAGGATCCAGGCAGAAAAGAAGATGGATTTGTAATTAAGGGCTGTGGAGGTGATGGGAGCTTCACCCCTGTCTGTACCAGTGCTCAGGAAGTGTTTGGATAATTTAGAATTAAGGAAAAAAACTCACAAAGCTGCAGCCCCTTGGTAAAGGGCTGGGTGGGAAACGTGCAGATTCATCCAGGGAGAAAGGAGACACTGCCCAGGAGCTGAGCCCTTGCAGTGTGCCAGGATGGTCCTCCTGGAGTGGGAGGGTCTCTGCTGGGATGGGACATTTCTGGGGACCTGGGAGATGTGGCCCAAAAGCCACTGGAGCAGGGTGATCCATCAGGAAAGGCTGGAAAGGGAAGGAGACCTTGGAGAGAATCTGCCATTGCTGTGGTGGTGACATCCCTGGCTTTCCCTTTGGTGACATCCCTGGCTTTCCCTTTGGTGACATCCCTCATTTTCCCTTTGGTGACATCCCTTGGTTTCCCTTCAGTGACATCCCTCATTTTCCCTTTGGTGACATCCCTCATTTTCCCTTTGGTGACATCCCTCATTTTCCCTTTGGTGACATCCCTGGCTGTCCCCTTGGTGACATCCCTTGTTTTTCCAGCACTCCCAGGTCCCATGGGGCCATCCCAGCAGACATCCTCACCTCTGGGTTATTCCCAGTTTATGTTTTCATCTTTATGTTTTTTCATTTCCCAGCCTCTGGGTTATTCCCAGTTTATGTTTTCGTTTTTCCCCAAACTGGGGGAGCTTCTCGAGGCCTCTGGAGGTGCTGGGAAGGCAGTGGGCAGGGAAGCAGCTCATTCCTGGGATTGTGGCCTCCCGTGGCTTCCTCCTGGATGTCAGTGGAGGGAAAGCCAGTCCTAGCTTGTGTTTTCCACCTTTTCCCAGCTCTGTGGAAGTTGGGAGCTTCAGGGGGATTTCTTGTGGGTTTCATGTGTTTGGGGTCTCCTCCAGAGCTGCTCTGTGCTGTTGGACACAGGGAAGGCTTTTTCCAATTTATGTTCCTGGATTGAGGGACAGGGATGAGCTGTTGATCCCAACCCCAGCTCCAAAAGTCGGGTTTAAATCCCATTTCATGGTTTTTCTGACCCTTTTATTGCCACTCACCATCCCTGGGTGGGGAGCTCTGGAAGCCCCTCGGGTCTGCAGCTTTTCCAGGGAGCCTTTGCTAATTCCCACGTGTTAATCCCAACTGCTAATCCCTCACCAGCCAGAGGAATTAATAACTTCTTCCTTCTTTTCCAGGTCGACACACAATGAGATGGAAAAGAACAGGTGAGTGCCAGGGGTTGTCAGGAGCTGGGCTAGGGGGAATTATTGCTTTTCCAGGGGTGTTCCACCATCCTGAGATGGCTTGGGAGGGAAGGAAGGGGATAAAGGACACCAGGAATTAAAGCATTCCCTGTCCTTGCTTGTTGGGAATGGCATCCACCTCCACAGCCCTGCTTATTCAGGTAAATTATCTTTCACAGGCTCATCTTTGAGCCAGCTAGAGTTTGGGATTTACCCTGAGTAAATCCCACTTTTTTTGGCTGTGGTGTCATCCCGAGGCCCTTTGGGTGAGGAAATCCCTGTTCCCTCCCAGCATATCCCAAACAAGACCAGCAGGTCATTGCAAAATCCCTTTGGAGCTGCCCGGGATCAGGTGGTTCAGGGGTGGCTGTCACAACCCCTTCCCAAGGACCTGACCTACGTGTTGGGCTTGGGAATGGACACAGGGAAACTGGGATGTGCTGGGAGCACCCTGCTCTTTTCAGCAGGAAAAGGGATTTCCTCGAGGAGCTGGAGTTCCCCTCCTGCATTAACCTGTTAAAGCAGAGAAAACGCAGATGTTACAGGAAGAGGGAGGATTCCTGGAGAACAGCCAGTGCTCCTGCAGGCATCTGGGGGTTTTGTGTCCAAAACCACCCTGTTCCTACTAAAAATAAGGAAAGGAAGCACTCCCAAGGGGTTTGCAGCTGGGTGTTGTTAGCCTGGGCAGCTTCAGCTCTCAGCAGGAACCACGCAGCCCTCCTGAGATGGAAGAGAATGACCAAAAGTGGATATTCTCACCCAGAATCACGAGCTCACTGGCATCTCGTGTCCTGGGCTCCCCCCACCAGCCCGGGCTGCCAGCAGGGTTCATCCAGCAGCTTTTCCCAAGGCATCCTCTGGCCTGGCTGCAGTTCTCTCCCAGTTTCTGGAAGCCCCTGGAGGCTGGGGAGGTTCCTGGTGGGGTTTAGCTCCCGGGATCCCATTTTCCCCCAGCAGCGGGCTGGGAATGCCCCCGGGGAAGCCGTCCCAGCTGTGTGTGCTCCCGTTGCAGGCGTGCCCAGCTCCGGCTGTGCCTGGAGAGGCTGAAGGGGCTGGTGCCGCTGGGGGCGGCGGCCGGGCGGCACACCACGCTCAGCCTCCTCACCAGGGCCCGCCTCCACATCCAGGTGAGCCCAAAACCGGCACCGGGCACCGGGCTGGGAGCTGGGAGCAGCGTCCCTGGACGGGCCCCGTGGGCTGGGAGAGGGCTGGGGTAACTGGGAGGGCACTGGGATGGTGATGGGATGATGGGGGGAGCACTGGGATGGGGCTGGGGTGACTGGGGGAGTTCTGAATTGGGCTGGGATGACTGGGAGAGAGCCAGCATCGGGCTGGAATGACTGGGAGGGTTGGAATCCCTACGGCTCCACATCCCGAACGTGCTGAAGGTGGGAGCCCCTTGGGAGCCAGGGTGGATTGGGCAGGGAATGCCAGGTGGTTCTGAGGGAATCCTGAGTGGTTCTGAGGGAATCCCGGGCTCAGGATGCCCTGTCCCGGGTGGCCCCAAGGAAATCCTGGGTAGTTCTGAGGGAATCCCAAATCCCAGGTGGTTCTGAGGGAATCCTGAGTGGTTCTGAGGGAATCCCAGGCTCAAGGTGCTGGTAATGCCAGGTGGCTCCAAGGGAATCCCAGGCTCAGGGTGCCCTGTCCCGGGTGGCCCCAAGGAAATCCTGGGTAGTTCTGAGGGAATCCCAGGTGGCTCCAAGGGAATCCCAGGTGGCCCCAAGGGAATCCCAGGCTCAGGGTGCCCTGTCCCGGGTGGCCCCAAGGGAATCCCAGGTGGCTCCAAGGGAATCCCAGGTGGCTCCAAGGGAATCCCAGGTGCTTCCAAGGGAACCCCGGGCTCAGGGCGCTGTGTTCCCCGCAGAAGCTGGAGGACCAGGAGCGCCGGGCCCTGCACCAGATCGAGCAGCTGCAGCGGGAGCAGCGGCACCTGCAGCGGCAGCTGGAGAAGCTGGGCATGGAGCGGGTCAGGATCGACAGCATCGGCTCCAGCCTCTCCTCCGAGCGTTCCGACTCGGACCAAGGTGAGAGCCGGCGCCGGGGCGCGGCCGCGGGGAGGCCTGGCCCTGCCGGAGCCCCAACCCTTCCCGTTCCCCCGGCAGAAGAGATGGACGTGGACGTGGAGAGCACGGACGACCTCCCGGCCGAGCTGGACTGGAGCAGCAGCAGCCCCAGCGACTCGGACGAGCGCGGCAGCCTGCAGAGCCTGGGCAGCGACGAGGGCTACTCCAGCTCCGGCGGCGCCAGGGCCAGGCTGCCCGGCAGCCGCAAGCTTCCCGCCGGGATTTAGGGAGCTCTTCCCAGCTCCGTGCCCTCGGCATCCCGTTAGCCAGCACAGCGACCCCGCCAGCATTCCCTGCACGGAACCCCCCCGGCCCGGCTGCTCCCGGGGCTCCGTTGGCACCTCCGGCCTCTCTGCTCCGCCCGGGAATGTTCTGGCAACAACAGCGACCTCAGGAGCCTTCCCCGGGCTGTCGCTGCCCGGTGTTGCCCATCTCTCGACGCCTGGGTGGCCGCGGCACGCTCCCGACGCCCAGGACCCGGAAAGCTGAGGTTTTTTGGGAGCGGACCCAAGGAGGAGCCGGTGCTTTGTGGGGTTTCCATCCGCGGAGCCTTTCGGGCGCAGGGATCGGCCTCAGTCGGGGCTCCTTCCCCCGACTCTAAATCTTCAGGGACGCCGTGCCAGCCCCGCCGCGGTCCCGGAGCATTCCTGGCTGGGGGCAGGCTCGGGGCTGTGCCCACCCCTGGGGTCGAGGTGCCCCTCCTGGAATGTGGCACGGCCTTGCAGACTCCTGCAGTTCCCTTCCCGCACTCTCGGGGACTTTTTTCTACCTCGGAGGGAGCCCAGGGCCTCTCTCCACCCCTTCAGCACAAAGGTGATGCCTCTGCTCAGCAATAACCCCGCGGGATTCCCCGGCTCCATCCGCCCGGGATTGCTCCAGGCTCGTGGAAGGTTCCAGAAGCCACCGCAGGGAGCTCCAAGGGAATCCCAGGCTCAGGGTGCCCTGTCCCGGGTGGCCCCAAGGAAATCCTGGGTAGTTCTGAGGGAATCCCAAATCCCAGGTGGTTCTGAGGGAATCCCATGCTCAGGCTGCTGGTAATGTCAGGTGGCTCCAAAGGAATCCCAGGTTCAGGGTGCCCTGTCCCGGGTGGTTCCAAGGGAATCCCAGGTGGCTCCAAGGGAATCCCAGGTGGTTCCAAGGGAATCCCAGGCTCAGGGTGCCCTGTCCCGGGTGGCCCCAAGGGAATCCTGGGTGGCCCCAAGGGAATCCCAGGTGGCTCCAAGGGAATCCCAGGTGCTTCCAAGGGAACCCCGGGCTCAGGGCGCCGTGTTCCCCGCAGAAGCTGGAGGACCAGGAGCGCCGGGCCCTGCACCAGATCGAGCAGCTGCAGCGGGAGCAGCGGCACCTGCAGCGGCAGCTGGAGAAGCTGGGCATGGAGCGGGTCAGGATCGACAGCATCGGCTCCAGCCTCTCCTCCGAGCGCTCCGACTCGGACCAAGGTGAGAGCCGGCGCCGGGGCGCGGCCGCGGGGAGGCCTGGCCCTGCCGGAGCCCCAACCCTTCCCGTTCCCCCGGCAGAAGAGATGGACGTGGACGTGGAGAGCACGGACGACCTCCCGGCCGAGCTGGACTGGAGCAGCAGCAGCCCCAGCGACTCGGACGAGCGCGGCAGCCTGCAGAGCCTGGGCAGCGACGAGGGCTACTCCAGCTCCGGCGGCGCCAGGGCCAGGCTGCCCGGCAGCCGCAAGCTTCCCGCCGGGATTTAGGGAGCTCTTCCCAGCTCCGTGCCCTCGGCATCCCGTTAGCCAGCACAGCGACCCCGCCAGCATTCCCTGCACGGAACCCCCCCGGCCCGGCTGCTCCCGGGGCTCCGTTGGCACCTCCGGCCTCTCTGCTCCGCCCGGGAATGTTCTGGCAACAACAGCGACCTCAGGAGCCTTCCCCGGGCTGTCGCTGCCCGGTGTTGCCCATCTCTCGACGCCTGGGTGGCCGCGGCACGCTCCCGACGCCCAGGACCCGGAAAGCTGAGGTTTTTTGGGAGCGGACCCGAGGAGGAGCCGGTGCTTTGTGGGGTTTCCATCCGTGGAGCCTTTCGGGCGCAGGGATCGGCCTCAGTCGGGGCTCCTTCCCCCGACTCTAAATCTTCAGGGACGCCGTGCCAGCCCCGCCGCGGTCCCGGAGCATTCCTGGCTGGGGGCAGGCTCGGGGCCGTGCCCACCCCTGGGGTCGAGGTGCCCCTCCTGGAATGTGGCACGGCCTTGCAGACTCCTGCAGTTCCCTTCCCGCACTCTCGGGGACTTTTTTCTACCTCGGAGGGAGCCCAGGGCCTCTCTCCACCCCTTCAGCACAAAGGTGATGCCTCTGCTCAGCAATAACCCCGCGGGATTCCCCGGCTCCATCCGCCCGGGATTGCTCCAGGCTCGTGGAAGGTTCCAGAAGCCACCGCAGGGAGGGCAGGGGGTTCCCAGCCGTGGTGTGGATTCCTTTCCCAGTGCACTGGAGGGATCATTCCCACCCCTTCCTGCTCTTGGAGATGCTCTGGGAATGTTGGCTCTGTGTGCAGAGCTCTGCTTCCAGCACCTTCCTTTTCCCCTCAGGCTGGTCCAGGGCTTTTCCAGGCCCTGCTGAGGAGTCTGGGGAGCCCTCCCAGGCTGGGATGGATCCCTCCCGGGCTGGGATGGAGCCCTCCCGGGCTGGGATGGAGCCCTCCCGGGGCTGGAGCCCTCCCGGGCTGGGATGGAGCCCTCCCGGGGCTGGAGCCCTCCCGGGCTGGGATGGAGCCCTCCCGGGGCTGGAGCCCTCCCGGGCTGGGATGGAGCCCTCCCGGGGCTGGAGCCCTCCCGGGCTGGGATGGAGCCCTCCCGGGGCTGGAGCCCTCCCGGGCTGGGATGGAGCCCTCCCGGGGCTGGAGCCCTCCCGGGCTGGGATGGAGCCCTCCCGGGGCTGGAGCCCTCCCGGGCTGGGATGGAGCCCTCCCGGGGCTGGAGCCCTCCCGGGCTGGGATGGAGCCCTCCCGGGGCTGGAGCCCTCCCGGGCTGGGATGGAGCCCTCCCGGGGCTGGAGCCCTCCCGGGCTGGGATGGAGCCCTCCCGGGGCTGGAGCCCTCCCGGGCTGGGATGGAGCCCTCCCGGGGCTGGAGCCCTCCCGGGCTGGGATGGAGCCCTCCCGGGGCTGGAGCCCTCCCGGGCTGGGATGGAGCCCTCCCGGGGCTGGAGCCCTCCCGGGCTGGGATGGAGCCCTCCCGGGGCTGGAGCCCTCCCAGGCTGGGATGGAGCCCTCCCGGGCTGGGATGGATCCCTCCCGGGTTGGGATGGAGCCGTCCCGGGGCTGGGATGGAGCCCGAGCCTCTGCCGGTGCCTCTCAGGAAATGCAGGTGCTGAAAGGCTTCAGATGCTCCGTGGAGTGCAAGGGGATGGATGAGCAGCAGGAGACTCCAGTGCTTTTTCCTTTCCTTTGTCCTTTCCCTTCCTTTTTTCTTTCCCCTCCTTTTTTTTTTTTTTTTTTTTTTTTTGCCTTTTCCTTTCCTCCTTACCCCTTTCCTCTTTTCTTTTTTCCCTTTTTTCCTTCTCCTTCTTCCCTTCTTTTCTCCTTTTCTGTTCCCCTTTCCCCCTTTCTCATTTCCCCCCTTCCCTTTCTTTTTTGCCACCCCAGTCCCATTCCTGGCTCACATGGGGACATGGGAATCCACCCACAGGCCCCACAAATTGCCCAAATCCCCCAGGTTTTGGCTCTTTTTTTCCATGTGCTGGCTCATAAGAGGAAAAAAAAAAAAAAAAAAAAAACCAAACCCAAACCACAAGGAATTTTCCTTTAAAGCTGCTGGAATTTTCCACCCTCTGGCATTGTCACAGACCCTGGGCACCTGAGCTCAACCCCCTGCACCGCCAAAAAGAGGGAAAAAAAGGCAAAAAGATGGAAAACACAGAGAAAAAGAGGAATACCAACCCCTGGGGGCTGAGGCTCAGGTGGCTTTTGCCTTCACCTGGGGATTCCCAGCCCTGGGCAGGCCCTTCCAGAGGTACAAAACGTTGATTTGTGGTTGCTTTTGGACATTCTGAAGGTTTGGCCTCAGCACAAACGAGGGCTTTTGGCAGGTTTGTGCCTTTCTGAGTCTCCAATGCCTTTTTTTTCCCCCTTTTTTCCCCGCTCCCAGCCCAGCCTGCCCCTTCCCAGCCCTTTGCACTGTCGGGCTGTGCTCCGGGAACCCCAAAACTCTGCACTAACCCGGAACCCCCGGCTGCCCAGAGGTGGTGCCAGCCTTTTCCTGGAATTCACTGATCCACCAGCATTCCTATGAAATAAGCTGCAGGAAGGACTTTTTTATAGGTTGTGACAAAAAAAAAACACAAAAAAACCCAGGGATGGGGGGAGTGGGATGGGGGCACGGATGGGTGGCAACAAAACCCACCCAATTTTGGGGCTGTTTTTCCTTTCTTTTTCCTTTTGGAAGGCAGATCCCCAAGCAGCAGCTCCCAGGAAGCACCAAAATGTTCTTTTCATCCTTCATTTCTCCAGCGGAGCCGTTCTCCACTCAAGCTTTCCTTCGTTGTTCTTGGGGACACCTCTTTTTTGTGCTTTTCCCGTCCTTTTTTTTGTTGTTTTTCAGTTCTTTTTTGCTTCCCAAGCGGTGGCTCCAGCCCAGCCTGGCTCCCCTGGGCAGCTGGGAGTGGGCACAGCTGTAAATATCCAAATTTCCCACTGCAGAGCTGAACCCCGTGTCAAGCCAATAGAATGGTGCTTTTTTTTTTTTCTTTTTTTTTTTTTTTTTTTTTTTTTTTTTTTTTTTTTTTTTTTTTTTTTTTTTTCAAGCAGAAGAGCCATTGTACACCTTAAGATTAAATTGAAGACTTTTAGTGTCCAAGTTGCTTGCATTTTGAGGTTAAAGGATTAATAGTTCTCCAAAATAAAAGTTTCAAAATAAAAGTTTTTCTTTGGAAAAACAAAACTATAATCATTGCTTCAGCAAGATTTTCAACTTGAGAAGCTTTTTGTGACTTTAAATTCTCTCTGTGTTTTCAGTCCTAAGTTCTTGATCTAGGATTGGTGTAATATAACACACATTATTCTTGGCTTCCTAATGAGTTTTTATTAAGTTACTGTGCTCTTTGCAGTCTTGGAAACTTTTTAATTCTCACTTTACACTTCAAAGTTCACAGCTATCTCCGCGTGCGATGCAAACACTGGCTGTAAAATGAGCAAGTGAAACACCTCCCTGCAATTAAGAAAGGAGGTGGTTTCCTCAGTGGAAATAATCTGCATTGGCCATAGCAAGAGGTACAACTCAGCATCTCATTTAACACTTCAGATTGTCTTTGCATATGTGGGCTAGAGTCCAACAGCTTTAGGAAATCCTTGGTGGATATTAATCTGGAACACAAATAGCAGAAGTCCTACTTCAACACAATTGATAGCCTCTACTTACTAGCAGTCTTTGGGCTCGATTATCATGGAGATGCAATTAACTGTCTTTCACGGAGAGGGCGGGTCCTTCCAGATCCAGGAGGAGAGGTCACAGATGGGGCGGTGTGGTTATGTGGTTAAGGGTAATTTGGCTTGCTCAGAAAAAGGTCCAGACTCTGGGCGCTCAGGCTGAACACATGCAAAGCCAGACAGCAAGAAATGCCATGTACCACCAGCCCACCATATCTGCCACCAGGCGTGACCCATCCAGACTGCAAATTCAGGCTTTTTTTTTTTTTTTTTTTGCTTTTTTTTTTTCTTTTTTCTTTTTCTTTTTTTTTTTTTCTGTTTTTGTTTTTTTGGTTTTTTTTTAGGAATTCCGTGTTTTAGGAGATCTTTGCTGTGTCCATGGATATTTCTGTCTTGTTTGATTGTTAGGAAATAAATTATTTCGTTACGAAAGAGCCGGGATTGCTGCGGGAGGGGAGGGGACGCTGAGCGCGGAGGTGGCAGAAGGACGGGGTGGCACCGGGGGGGACAAGGACAGGGTGGGAGGGTGGCACGGGGGGGGGACAGAGGGACACGGGGCCACCTGGGAGCCATCGCGGTGCCTCACCTGGGGCAGGTGCCCCGCCCGTGGGGCCACACCTGCCCTGAGGGCTCTCGAGTGACAAGTGGGGTCACGGTGGTGGCGGGGAGGGACCTGCCGGGAAGGGACAGCGGGGAGGGGACAGGGGGCACAGTCAGGGGGTGGCACAAGGCTGGGGGATGGGCAGGACGGGGACGGGGACATTGCCAGGGGTCCCTGCTGGGGACGTGGGGCCCTTGAGTGGGGACACGGGCGTGGGGCCAGCAGCAGAGTGGCAGGGCGGGGGTGGCAGGTCCGCAGCGTCCCCGCGGGTGTGGCACACCTGTCCCCGTGAGCTGGCGCGGTGCCACATCCCGCCTGCCCTGCGGGGCTTTAAGAGGCCGCGGGCTCGGCCGTGCCAGCGCTGTCCCCTCCTGTCCCCGCCATGGCCCTGGCGCTGCCGCTGCTCCTCGCCCTGCTCGGGACCACCCCAGGTAGGGCCGTGCCCCCCAAACCTGGGGCAGCCCGGAGCACCCCCAGAGCCGGGCACCCCCAAAGCTGGCTGTCCCCAAAGCCAGGTGTCCCCAAACCTGGGTGTCCCCAAAGCTGGCTGTCCCCAAAGCTGGCTGTCCCCAAAGCCAGGTGTCCCCAAAGCTGGCTGTCCCCAAAGCCAGGTGTCCCCAAATCTGGGTGTCCCCCTCAAGGACCCCGTGCACGGACTCCTGGCAAGGGGGGAAGGGAGCCCTTGGGGGGGGTCTGGGACCCTTCGTGGGGTATGGGGGTGTCCCTGGGGGGGTCTCTTCCACCCGGGTCACCCCGTGAGGGCAGGAGTGGGGTTTGGGGGTGCTGTGTGGATAGGGGGGGTCACGGTGCCAGGGCCCCCCGGGATGGGGTGTTGGGGGGGTGCATTGAGGGGATCCCCCAATCCCGGGTGTCCCCAAGAGGGCTGGTTTTGGGGGGGGGTGACTCCACCTGGATTGCCAGGTGCCCCTGGCCGGGTGCTGACAGTGGCCACAGGTCTGGGGGCGCCGGGGGGGGGCTGTGGGGTGCCCCCCTCTGCCTGGTGCCAGGACTGGGTGACGGCGCTGCGCTGCGGGGCCCTGGGGCGCTGCCCCCACCTCACCCAGGGACCCCCCGAAGTGGTGAGAGACCCCCCCCGTGTCCCCATCACCCCTCTAATGTCCCTCCACCCTTCCCTCCGTCCCTGTGCCCCCTGGGTGTCCCCAGAACCCCACAGGGGTCCCAGCACTCCCACCATGGTGCCACACCAATGAGTCCACACGCGTCCCCCTCGGTCCCCATGTCCCCATTCCCCCATGTCCTCATGTCCCCATTCCCCCACGTCCCCATGTCCCACCTCCTCATGCTCCCCACGTCCCTGTCCTCCTCTGTGGCCATTCCCCAATGTCCCAGACCCCCGTGTCCCCATGTCCCCCTGTCCTCTCCTGCAGGACACCTGTGCCATATGCCAGCACTTCGTGGACTTCCTCCGCCAAATCTCCAACCAAACGGCCGTGGAGGTGACACTGGGGGTGGGGGACAGGTGGCACTGGGGGTGTCACCGTGGGGGCCACAGGCACAGGTGCCATGGGGTGTCATGGTGGGTGCCAGCAAGTGCCACTGGGCACAGGGAGGTGCCACTGGGAGTGCCACTGTCGCTGAGGAGGTGGTGGCTGCCACTGAGGGTGCCAGGGTCACAGATGCCACCATGGTGCTGTGTGTCACTGCGGGTGCTGGGACGGCGGGTGAGGTGGTGGCAGGTGCCAGCGGGTGCCACTGTGGTGAGGGGACAGGGTGGATGCCATCGTGTGTGCCATGGGCACCACCCACGGGCACCAGTGGTGACAGGTGTGGCTGGGGTGTGGTGGTGGTGGTATGGCAGTGGTGGCTGTCACTGTGGGTGTCACTGTGGGGTATCATGGTGGTGTCACTGTCACTGTCGGTGCCCTGGTGCAGGAGGTGCTGGAGCACGTGGTGGGGTTGGTGTGCCCACATCTCCCTTTGGTGGAGATCCCGTGCCAGCAGCTGGTTAAGTGGCTTGTCCATCAACTCCTCCGGGACCTCCAGCACCTCGTGAGTGGCAGTGGGGCACACGGGAGGGGCCTTGGGGACACTGTGGCCCCCAGGGACATGGGGGGCAGCGGGCACAGCAGGGCACCCAGGGGCACCCCGGGGGCTTGGGGACAGCTGTGTCACGCTGTGCTGGCCCGCAGAAGCCCCGCGAGGTCTGTGCCAAGCTGCAGCTGTGTCCTGCAGAGCCCGGCGCCGCGCTGGCCCTGCCCGTCCTGGAGGTGCCCGGCAGCCACCTGCAGGTACGGGGACACGGGGACAGCAGGGGTGGGTGGCGGGGGGACACGGCCACGCAGAGTCCCCAGCACCGCTGCAGTGTCCCCTCTGCCCCTGCAGTGTCCCCGCACTGCCAGCACTGTCCCCAGTACCAGGTGCAGCATCCCAGCACTGGTCGCAGTGTGCCAGCAGCAGGTGCAGTGTCCCCTGTCCCCTGCAGTGTCCCCAGCACTGGCAGCAACGTCCCCTCTTCCTCTGCAGTGTCCCCTCTCCTCTGCAGTGTCCCCTCTCCTCTGCAGTGTCCCCAGTACCAGGTGCAGTGTCCCAGCAGCGGGTGCAGTGTCCCCTCTCCGCTGCAGTGTCCCCTGTCCCCTGCAGTGTCCCATGTCCCCTGCAGTGTCCCCTCTCCGCTGCAGTGCCCCCAGCACCGCTGCAGTGTCCCCTCTCCGCTGCAGTGTCCCCTGTCCCCTGCAGTGTCCCCAGCACTGCTGCAGTGTCCCCTCTCTGCTGCAGTGTCCCTGCCCTGGCTGCAGTGTCCCCTGTCCCCCGCAGGGCTCCGGGCTGTCCCCGCAGGCGCTGCCGCTGCCGCTGTGCTGGCTGTGCCGCTCGCTGGTGGCGCGGGCCGAGGCCGCTGTCCCCGTGGGCTCGGTGGCCGCGGCGGTGGCCGGGCTGTGCCGGGCGCTGCCGTTGCCGGTGGCCGGGGCGTGCCAGTGCCTGGCCGAGCGCTACGCGGCCCTGGCGCTCGAGCGGCTGCTGGGCCGCCTGGGGCCGCGCCTGCTCTGCCGCCTGTTCCTCGCCTGCCGCAGCGGGGACAGCGGGGACAGCGAGCACGCGGGGACGCTGCCACCGCCCTGGGTGCTGGAGACCATCGTGGTGCGGCTGGCGGACTGTGTCAGGGAGGAGGTGAGGGGGACACGGAGAGGATGGCTGGGAGGTGACGGGGCACGCCAGGGTCACACAACAATGAGGGGACACGTCCAGGAGTGTCACAGCCCCAAGGACACACCACTGAGTGTCGAGGTCCCCGGGAGCCACGCCAGGGACACAAATGTTGGTGCAGCCCCAAAGGGACACATCCTGGGTGTCACAGTCCTTGGGGACACATCGTGGACTGTCACAGTCCTGTCAGTGAGATCCCCAGTCAGTGCCACCCTCCCTCCAGTGCCAGAGTCACAGCCTGGGGAGGGGGCTTGGGGGGTCCTGGGTGTGCCCCCACCCTTGGGGGAGCCCCTCATGCCTGTGTCCCCCCCAGGACCCCAAAGGTGCCGCTGTCCCTGCACTGTCCCTGGGCCCCTGTGCCCTGGGCCCCATCTTCTGGTGCTCGGGCCCGGAGGCCGCGCGGCGCTGCCAGGTGAGTGGGGACACAGGGGACACGGGGGACATGGGGGCTGCCACCCCCTGCACCCCCAGCTGACCCCTGGGCCCCTTGCAGGCCCTGCAGCACTGCCGGGAGCACGTCTGGCTGTAGGGGGGCACCAGGACCCCCCAGCTTTCCCCAATAAAGCTTGGATGCAGCTCTGCCTCAGCCTTTGGGGATTTTGGGGACCGATGGGGGCTGGGGGCTCACGGGGTGCTGGGAGGGAAGCAGCAGAAACCACAAACCCACAAAACCCAAAGAAGAGAAGAGGTGAAAATGAGCTACAAAAATAGCAGGTGGCATTTACTGGGACACACGCACCTGCAGGGGGACTGAGGGTGTCCCCAGGTGGGCATCAGGTGTCCCTGCGAGTCTCTGGGTGACCACGGGGGAGCTTGGGCTGCTCCTAAAGGGGTGTAAGGGCACCCCTAGGGGGGTGGGGATACCCCCGAGGGGGAGCTGGGGGTGTCCCCAGGGGGGTTTCTGGGTGTCCCCAAGGCTCTCAGGCGCCTTGTTGGTTCGTCTCATCCTCCTCGCGTCGCTTCCAAATCTGCAGGAGAGCAGGAGGGGGTTGGGGGGCACAGGAGATGTTAGGGGGTGTCAGGGGAAATTCAGGGGGTGTCACAGGACATTCTGGGGGTACCCCCTGTCCCCCCTCACCTGGATGTAGGCCTCGGACAGGGTGATCATCTGGGGCAGGATGTCGGTCACCTGCAGGTCCTGCAGCTCGTACCACTTCCCTGTGCCCTGCCAGGACCCAAGAGGGGTCAGGGTGACTCTGGGGGGTCCCCGTGGTCCCCCCGAGCCCCCCGGGGAGGGGACACTCACGTGGTGCAGGACGTGGATGCGGTAGGAGCCCTCCGAGGGCTTCCCGTCGTGCACGATGTTGGCGATGAGGTCGTAGGTGGTGTGGGAGTGCGTGGCCTGCACCTCCTCCGACAGGTACTCCCGCAGGTCCACGTTCCTGGGAGCCCACAGCACCCTCAGACAGCTCCACAGAGCTCCTGTCCCTCCTGGATGCTGCAATCCCCCCCAGATGCCCACCCACAGCACCCTCAGACAGCTCCACGGGGCTCCTGTCCCTCCTGGATGCTGCAATCCCCCCCAGACGCCCACCACACTCCCTCACATATCTACATCCCCATCCCAGGTGTCACGAACTCCCCGACATCCCCAGGTGCCTTCAAATCCCTTTTTCATGCCTAAACACCACTCAAAGCCCACTCAGATGCCCACATACCACCCTAGACACCTTCAAATCCTGGACACTTCTACTCCCCTGGCTCAGGTGCTTCCAAAGCCCCTCTAGATGTCTCACAGATCTCCTCTTAGATGCTTTTAACCCTCTCCACAAGCTCCCAGCCCCCCAAAGCAGGGGGCACAGAAAGGATCCCCCGGGCACATACAGGGGGGCTGTGCCCGCTGGAGGGTCCCTGAGCTCCCCCAGCAGCCACCCTGTCCCTGCTTGTCCCCACAGCCCTGGGTGTCCCAGGCTCACGTGATGGGGAAGTTGACAATGGTGGGGTTCTTCTCCACGAAGAAGTTGTTCTTGGTGAAGCGCTTGATGCAGAAGATGAGGTAGGGGGGCAGGCGTGTGAGCTGGAAGCGCTTCAGGAAGTTCTCCTTGTAGGTCTTGTACTCCTTCTCTGTGCTGCCGTTGAACTTGGCCAGGATGCTGAACAGGGGCACCTGGGGGATGATGAGCTGCTCCTTCTCGTCCTTGTAGAGCGGCGCCGTGGGCAGGTCCAGGGTCAGGTACAGGAAGGTGGACTCCACCATGCGCTCCTGGTACTCGCTGTTCTGCAGCAGCTGCGCCTTCTCCTCCGCGGGCTGCGGGCACCCGTGGGGCACACGTCAGCCCCGTGGGGCACGTCAGCCCTGCTGGACCCCACATTCCCACTGGACACAGCAGCTGGATCCATCACACCCCAACCAGACCCAACACTCCCCATTGAACCCAGCACCCGCCAATGGATCCAACATCCTACATTGGACCCAACACCCCCCACTGGATCCATCACCCCCCACTGGATCCATCACCCCCCACTGGATCCATCACCCCACTGGACCCATCACCCCACTGACCCTAACACCACCCCATACAACCCTGCCACCCCCACTAGACCCTAACACCCCTGTGTTGTACCCAAAGGCCCCCCACCGTACCCCAACACCTCGCCCCATCCCTCATTTAACCCCATCACACTCCTCATTTGACCCAAGCCCCTGTCAGAACCCCATCACCCCCATGTGACCCCAACACCCCTTTTTCTGACCCTGCCATTCCCACTGCACCCCAACTCCCCCCGCCAAAATCCCGTTGGACACCGGCACCCCACACTGCACCCCAACACCCATCACTGCCCCCCATACCCTGACACCCCCCACCGCACCCCAACACCTCCCATTCCCCCCCCAAGTCCCACCAGGTCAGGGTGTGGCAGCTTCTTGGTGAAGATGCGCATGGAGCCCTGGAACACGTCGGTGACGATGGCTGGGGGGACAAAGTGGGGCTCAGTGGGGGGACAGCAGCCCACAAAGGCCCCCCCAGAACCTCCCCTCACTCACTCTTCTTTTTCCTCTTGGTGCCGCCCAGCGCGGCGTGCAGCGCGTTCAGGAACCAGGACAGGAACTCCACCCCATCCCCTGCAACAGCAGAGCTGGAGCTGAGCCTGCATCCTGCTCTGCCCCTGCATGCAGAGACCCCAGACCCTGCACCCCCAGACCCTGCACCCTGAATCCAGAGACCCCAGACCCTGCACCCCCAACCCAGCCCTGCACCCCTGAGTCCAAAGCCCCCAGACCCAGAACTGCCTCCCCAACCCAGCCCTGCACCCCCAAATCCAAAGGCCCCAAGATCCAGCTTTTCCCCTCAAACCCAGCACTGCCCCCCAAACCCAGCCCTGCACCCCCAAACCTAGAGCCTCCCAAGCCCAGCTCTTCCCCTCAAACCCAGCTTTGCCCCCCAGCCCTGCACCCCCAAACCTCACCCTGCTTGGTGATCTGGAAGTTCTTCTTGCTGCACAGCACCACGGCCTGCAGCATCTCGTGGGGGGACACGTGTGCCTTGAAGTTCCTGGGGTTCCAGAGCTTCCTCATGAGCTCCCCGAAGCGCTGCACCAGCAGGAACATGATGTCCCCGGGCGGGCGCTGGATGTGCCGGTAGTTCTCCTCCTCCAGGAAGTAATTCCTCAGGGGAGGCACGTTGGACAGGGCCTGGGGACAGAGCAGGGGGGATTCAGCCCCGTGACCCCCATGGTGGGGGATCTGGGGGGCTTTGGGGCAGACCCTGCACTGCTGTGGGTAGGGAATCTCAAACAGTATGAAAGGGAAAGGATCCGGAGTGGGGATGATCCCTGCCGGCCCCACAGAGGGGTTTGGGAACGGTTATGGGGGGCTTTCACCCTAAAAGGCCAGCTGCATCCCACAGGTGTAATGCCTGCAGAATGGAAGGTGGGATCCACCCTCAGGAGTGGGATTTTAGGAGGATTTCATAGGGGATTCAGCCCAAAATGATCCCTCATGTACATATGCTATGGGAAAAGAGGTGGGACTCGTCCCCAAGACCCCCAGAGCAGGATTTTGGGAGGGTCTCAGCCTAGAATGAAACCTGAACCCCCTCACAATGCACAGCCTATGAGAGGAAAGGTGTGATTCCTCCCTGTCAGACCCACAGTGCTGTTTTGGGGGGGTTTCACCCCAGAAGGAAGCCCCCACCCTGGTGTCTGGTGTCACCTGCAGCACAGCGTTGGCATAGTCGTTGGCCTTGATGTTGTTGAGCCCCACGATGCCAGGCAGGTACGTGGTGCCATCGTAGGCCCGGGACAGCTTGGCCTGTTTGTCCAGGTGGGCGATGTGCTGGGCTGTGAAGGTGGGCTTCAGCACATACTGTGGGGGGAGAGAGCCCTCAGAGCTGGGGACCCCAACCTGAACCCCCCCAGAGCTGGGGACCCCAACCTGAACCCCCCCAGAGCTGGGGACCCCAACCTGAACCCCCCCAGAGCTGGGGACCCCACCTGAACCCCTCAGAGCTGGGGACCCCATCCCAACCCCTCAGATCTGGGACAGACCCCATCCCAAACCCCTCAGATCTGGGACAGACCCCATCCCAAACCCCTCAGATCTGGGGCAGACCCCGTCCCAAACCCCTCAGAGCTGGGGCAGACTCCATCCCAAATCCCTCAGGAGTGGGAAAAAACCCCATCCCAAACCCCTCAGATCTGGGGCAGATCCCCACCCAACCCCCTCAGATCTGGGGCAGACCCCATCCCCAGCCCCTGAGGTGTGGGCAGCCCCCCCCAGCCCCAGCACCGTGATGTCCTCGAGGGAGGAGTCGATGATCTCGTAGTTGTCGGGCAGGCAGTAGAACTTGAGCGTGTGCAGGTTGAGGAACACGTGGTGGCTCAGCTGCACACTGTGGATGTAGGCGTGCGACTTCAGCCCGCGGCCTGTGGGGGACACGGGCACCAGGGGTGGCACCGAGCACCGTGCCAGAGGCAGGGGGCACACAGAGGGTCCCCGTGCCTGCTGGAGGGTCCCTGAGCTGCCCCAGCAGCCACCCTGTCCCTGGTGTCCCCATGGTGGCCCTCCCCAGGCATCCTCTTTGTGCCCCTTGACAGCAGCCTGTCCCTGGCTGCTCCCTGTCCCTGCGTGTCCCCAAAGCCCTGGGTGTCCCCAGCAACACCACAGACCCCTTGTGCCCTGTCCCTGGGTGTCCCCTGGGTGCCCCCCATCTGTCCTGGCTGTCCCCTGAGAGACCCCCATCACTTCTGGCTGTCCCCCCTTGCTCTTGGCTGTTCCCAGTGGCGTCCCTCATCACTCCTGCCTGTCCCCTGGCTGTCCCCTGAGAGTCCCCCATCACTTCTGGCTGTCCCCCCTTGCTCTTGGCTGTTCCCAGTGGTGTCCCACATCACTCTTGCCTGTCCCCTGGCTGTCCCCCTTCACTCCTGCCTGTCCCCTGGCTGTCCCCCATCACTCCTGCCTGTCCCCTGGCTGTCCCCTGCTGTCCCCATGCCCCAGCAGTCCCAGAGGGGGGGTCTCACCCTGGAAGTACTTCCCGCAGACCAGGCAGGCGTAGACGTTGATGTGGGACAGGGAGATGGAGCAGAGCTTCTCAAAGTCGAAGTCCAGGACACTCCTGGGGGGAGAGCGGTGTCACAGGGCTGGGGGGCAGCGGGGGGGACCCCCAGGGAGAGGGGCACCCCGAAGCAGCCCCGTCACCCACTTGTTGATGGTGTCCAGGTAGGGGCAGTGCCGGCTGCGCTGGTCCTCGGGGTCGAAGCGCCCGTAGCGCACTGGGGGGGTGGGAGGGTGTGAAAAGGGGGGCACAAGAACCCCAAAAACACGAGGATGATCCCACCCAGCCCCCCCTCTGTGACAGCTCCCCGGGGCTGAGCCCCAGCTGCTCCCAGTGCCTCCAAACCCTGCCCAGAGCCGAGCTCAGGACCCCAGGAGCAGTGACCCTGGTGAGCCCCCGGTCCCAGAAACCCCCCAGACACCCCAGTGTCATTTTAGTCTCTCCAGACACCCCCAGTGTCATTTTAGAGTCTCTCCAGACACCCCGTGTCCCCTCACACCCCCAGACCCCCCTCACACCCTCAGTGTCCCCTCACACCCTCAGTGTCCCCCCACACCCCCAATATCCCCTCACACCCTCAGTGTCCCCTCACACCCCCAGACCTCCCTCACACCCCGTGTCCCCCCAGCCCCTCGGTCCCCCCCGTTCCTCCCGGTCCCCACCGGCGGGCTCGGGCTCAGGGTCGGAATCTCCATCCGGCTCCCGCTCCCTCTTCACCCGCACGGGCGCGGCGGTGCCGGAGCCTCCCCAGACGCCGCCGCCGGTACCGGTGCCGGTGCCCGGTTCCCGCTTGACGCGCGCGAGATCCACCGGCAGCGCCTCCGCCGCCTCCCGCCGCGCGCGCTCCCGCTCGGCGTCCCGCCGGCCCCGCGGGCGCTCGCCATCGGCGTCGCGGCGGCTGCGGGAGGAGGCGCGGGCGGCGGAGGCCCCGCGGGGCTCCCGGGGCTCCCGGGGGTCGCGGTCCCGCCTCCCGCGGCTCGACATGGCGGCGGTTCGGGCGATCTGCGCATGCGCCGCGCGAGGGGCAAATCGGTCTGCGTTACTGTGCGCATGCGCGGCCGCCGCTGAGTGACAATGTGCTACCGCGCCTGCGCGCTGCGGCGTCCCCTGCCGGCGCGCGGCGGCACCGGGGGCTCTTAAAGGCGCCGCGCCCCCGGTACCGACCCCGGCCGCCGGTACCGGGATGGAGGCGGCGGCCACAACGGCGGCCCCCGGCTGGCGCTGCCGGCCGGGGGGACGGCTAGACATGAGCCACGGCTTCGTGCGGCACATCCGCCGCAACCAGCTCGCCAGGTACCGGTACGGGCCCGGCCCCGCCGGGACCCTCCTCCCCGGGCCGGTTTGGCCCCGGTGCTCCCCTCACCCCGTAACGCCGCTGTTTTCCCCGTGCCCAGGGACGCGTACGACCGCGCGGTGCGGCAGGCGCGGGGCCGAGCGCGGACGCGGCTGATCCCGGGCCCGGCGCGGCCCCGGCGGCCCGACCAGCAGGTGTACCGAGCGCACCGGGGCGGCGGTGAGCGAGAACCGGGGGGGGGGGACACCGGGGGATGGGGACAGGAGGGACACCGGGGATGGAGACACCGGAGGATGGGGACACCGGGGATCGGGGACACCGGGGATGGAGACACCGGGGATCGGGACATTGGGGATGGGGACATTGGGGATCGGGGACACCGGGGATGGAGACACCGGGGATGGGGACCCCGTGGGTGCTGTCCCGGTGCCCCGGTGCCCCGCTGAGGGGTGCGGGTGCCGCAGGCGGGCCCGGGGGCGATGCCAGCGCGGGGCCCCCCCCCGAGAGCCGCGGGGACCCCCCGGAATCGGCCCGGGGACCGCGGCTCTTCTGCCTCGAGTACGAGGGGGACGACGGGCGGGTGACGGCCGTGATCGTGCACCAGGTGCGGGGCAACCGGGAACGGGGAACGGAGGCTGAGGGAATGCGGATGCCCGGGGTGCCCTGGATGGGGTGCCCTGGATGGGGGTGCCCGGGATGCCCGGGATGGGGCGGTGGGCTCCCCGGAGCCGCGGCGGGCAGGGCGGGTGACACGGCTGTCGCAGGGGGACAGCGCCGAGGAGGTGACACGCCGGGTGTGCGCCCGGAGCCCGCTGGAGCCGCCGCTGCGCCGGGCGCTGTGCCAGCGCGTGCAGGACGAGCTCAGCAAGCGCCGGGGCACCGGGTGACACCGCCACAGCCCCCGGACACGGCCACCCCCCTGCCACCGGCGCCACCTCCCCACCCCCGGTGTCAATAAAGGTGCTGCGAGGCTCTGGTGTCTCTCACTGCTCGGGGAAACTGAGGCACGGCAGGGGGAGTGACGCAGCTCCTGGGTCCCCAGGTGTCACGTTCCCCCCTGGTCCCTCCCAGGTGTCACCATGTCCCCTCCCTGGAGTGCCCACCCCCTCCTCAGGTCCCCTCTGTGTCCCCAGGGTCCCCTCTGTGTCCCCCTCCTGCCCCCAGCCCAGGTTGGTGGCACCAGATCCTGGTGTTTATTTATTTATTGTAGGATCTCCCCAAACCAGATCCTGGTATTTATTTATTGTAGGGTCATCCCAAACCAGATCCTGGTGTTTATTTATTTATTGTAGGATCTCCCCAAACCAGATCCTGGTGTTTGTTTCCTTGCAGGGTCTCCCCAGACCAGATCCTGGTGTTTGTTTCTTGTAGGGTCTCCCCAGACCAGATCCTGGTGTTTGTTTCCTGCAGGGTCTCCCCCAGTCCATCCTGCTGGTTTGGGGTTCAGGGTCTCCCCAGAGAGCTGCTGCTGCTGCTCCTGCTGCTGGTGTTTTCCCCCAGGGGGTTTTTATTGTGGGGTCCCTTCAGAGCAGATTTTGGAGTTTGTTCCTCGTGGGGTCTCCTCGAGGATCGTCCCACTGTTGTTGTCCTTGCAGGGTGTCCCCAAGAGCCCTGGTGTTTATTTGTCACTTATTTGTCACCGTGGTCCCTCTGTCCTCGTGGGCTCCCTGCAGTGCTGGGGGGGTGCTCGGTGCCCCCCGCGGGGTGGGGACAGTGCTGGTGACAGTCCCGGGGGACGAGTGTGCCAGGGCCAGCGCCAGTGCCAGCCCCAGGATGAAGAGGAGGAGGAGGCCGAGGCCGAGGGCCACCAGCTGCCACCGGCGGTGTCCCCTGCGCTGGCGCCGCGTCACCGCGCGCGTGGTGCGGGTGAAGGCCTCGCTCTGCGGGGACAGGAGGGGACAGGGGACAGTGCCACGGGCTGCACAGGGGCTGGGGGGACACCTGGGGACAGACAGACACCCCCCCAGAGCCTCTCCTCCCCAGCTGGGTGTCCCCATGGAGTCCCCGCAGTGTCCCCAGATCTGGGTGTCCACAGTGTCCCCAGCCCCTGGGTGTCCACAGTGTCCCCAAGCTCTGGGTGTCCCCACAGTGTCCCCAGCCCTGGGTGTCCCCCCAGTGTCCCCCAGCACTCTGGGTCACCCCAAGGCTCTATGTCCCAGTAATTTGTCCCTCCTGGGGCTCTCTATGTCCCTGCCCAGGGCTCGATGTCCCTGGACTGTCACCCCAGCTGTCTGTCCTGTAACAGGTCCTCCCTTTACACCCCTGCAGTGTCCCCTGGGCTCTGTGTCCCCAGGTTTACGTGTCCCCATAAAGCCCCACTCCCCCTCCCTGCGGTCCCTGTGTCCCCTGTGTCACTCCATGTGTCCCTTTAGTGCCACCCCATCCCCAGGCCGTGTGTGTCCCTTTAGTGCCACCCCATCCCCGGGCCATGTGTGTCCCTTTAGTGCCACCCCATCCCCGGGCCGTGTGTGTCCCTTTAGTGTCACCCCATCCATGTGTGTCCCCGGGCCCCGCCCGGCTCTGCTCCAGGTGTCCCCGCAGTGCCACCCCCGTGTCCCCGTGTCGCACCGCCTGTCGACGCGCCTGGGCGCGGCTCTGCAGCTGCTCCAGGTGTCCCTCCCGCTCCAGCGCCTTGGCCACGTTCTGTCGCATCAGCTCCGCCACCTCCTCGGCCTCGCGCTGGCACCGCGCCAGCCCCGCCTGGGGACACGAGGGACAACGTGGGGACACCGTGGGGACACGGGGGGGAAGTGGCACCGGGGAATGTGGGGACACAAAACCACGGGGACGGGCCCGGCGGGGACATGGGGACACCGGGGACCACCGTGGGGACAAAGCCTGACCGTGGGGACACGGGCACGGCAGGGACAATGGCACCGCGAGGGGGGCACACACGGAGCACGGGGACAGGAAACCGTGGGGACGAGGACACGGCGGGGACCGCGATGGGGACCGGGGGGGACGCGAGCACGGCGGGGCCAGAGCACGCACGGGGACACCGGGACCGCGGGACACGCAGCGACACTCGGGGACACTCGGGGACACGGAAAGTGCCGCTCGGGCCACCTCCCGCCACCCCCGGGACCGCGTCCCTCCCTTCGGCAGGGAGAGCCCGGGGGGCGGACCGGCACCGGGACAGGCACCGGCACCGGCACCGGGGGTCCCGTCCCTGGCGGCTCCCGTGGCTCCGAGCCCGCTCTGCCCCTCGCAAAGCGAAAGCGAAAGCGGCGCCAGCGGCGGCCGGGACTCACCATGGTCCCGGTACCGCGGGCCGGGGTCGCTGCCGGTGCCGCTGCCGGTACCGGTGCGCCCGTTCCTGTACCCGTCCCGCCTCGGGCCCCAGCGGCCGCCCCCGCCGGGAGGGACCGGGACCGCCCCCCGCCACCCTCGAGTGGCCACGGTCCGGGACACCCCGGCCACACCAGGACAGGGCTCCCCAGGACCCCCCAGTGCCCCCTGCCCTGCTGCCGGACCCCTGTCCCCCCTGTCCCGATGTCCCCCTGTCCCCCCTGTCCCCCTGTCCCTGCAGCCCCCCCTGTTCCCAAGACCCCCAGACTCGTGTCCTTGGCACTGCCCTGTCCCCCAGGAAAGGGACCCCACAGATGTCGGTGTCCCCAGCTCCCAGGGGACCCCCGTGTCCTGGTCCCTGGGGACCCCCCATGTCCCTGTCCCTGCCCCTCCCCTTCTCCCCCCCCCAGCCTCCGAGGGTGGCAGTGCCACCACAGTGTCCTTTGTCCCTCGGTGCCTGGCACGGCCCCCGGCGCCCTGGCACGGCCCCCACCCCCCCACGCATCCCCTCACGCCAGTGTCCCCACACGTGTCCCCCTCGTGACCCCACGTGAGTGTCCCCACATCCCTGGGGCCTGTCCCCACCGTGTCCCCCCATATTCCTGTGTCCCTATGCCTGTCCCCCTCCGTGTCCCCATGCCTGTGTCCCCCCATGTTCCCATGCGTCCCCTCATGTCCCCATGCCCATCTCACCATCTGTGTCCCCCCATGTCCCCCTGTGTCCCCCTGTGTCCCCCATGTCCCCCTGTGTCCCCGGTGTCCCCCTGTGTCCCCCACCCCACACACACACACACACACAGGTCCCTTGGCTCTCCCCCATCTGTATTTGTGCCCTGGGGTGGCCGTGTCCCCGTGGGGACAGTGGCTCTAGGTGGGGATGGTGCCGGTGGCCAGGAGGATGATGAGGATGAGCACGATGACACCCACGAGGCCGAGGATGACGAGCAGCTTCACGTTCTTCCACCAGTAGCGCCGGGCCATCTTCTGGGACGTGGTGCGGAAGTGCTCCGACTGCAGGGACAGTGCTCAGGGGCCTGGGGACAGGCTGACACCCTGGGGACAGGTTGACACCCCGGGGACAGCCCTCACACCCCGGGGACAGCCCTCACACCCTGGGGACAGCCCTGACACCCCGGGGACAGCCCTGACACCCTGGGGACAGCACACTCCCACCCTGGGGACAATCCTGCCCACCCTGGAGACCCTCTGCTGCCACTCTGGGGACACCTACTGCAACCCTGGGGACCCCACAGACACCCTAGGGACACCCCCCAGGGTCCGTGCCACCCCACTGGGCACCCTGGGTGTCCCCGTTCTCCCTTGGGGACCTTGTGTCCCCTGACCTGGGCACCCAGTGCCACCTCAGGAGCTCTGAACCACCTTGGGGGCTTTGGGACCACCACAGAGACACCGTGCCACCTTAGGGACCGTGGGTCACCTCAGGGAGCTGTGTGCCCACCCTGGTGACCCCCTGCCCACCCTGGTTACCCTGTGCCCACACTGGTGACCTCATGCCCACCCTGGTGACCCCATGCCCATGCTGGTGACCCCCTGCCCACCCTGGTGACCCCGTACCCGATGCAGGCACCCCGTGCCCCCTCCATGCCCCCTCTCGTGCCCCCTCACCGTGGCCTCCAGGTCCTGGCTCTTGCTGTGCAGCTGCTCCAGGTTCTCGCCCCGGGCCAGGATCCTCTCCACGTTCTGGCTCATGATGGTGGTGACGCCCTGCACCTCCTGCTGCAGCGCCCGCACGCGCCCCGCGCCCCCCTCCAGCGCCGGGGACCCCCCCGGGACCCCCGCCTGCAGCACAGGGCAGGGTCAGGGGTCAGGGGCACCCCCGGGACCCCAGGTGGATCCCGGACACCCCCATGACCCCGTGCCCAATCCAGGTACCTCGTGCCCACCCTGGTGACCCCTGCCCACCCTGGTGACCCCCTGCCCGATGCGGGTACCTCACGCCCACCCTGGTGGCCCCGTGCCCCCATAAATACCCCACAGCACCCTACAGACACCCCATCAATGCCCAGGGCACCCTCCAAACACCCCAGGCACCCCAAAGGAACCCGCCAAGCCCCCCTTGCTGGGCACCCCAGCACCCCGTGGTACACCCCCCGAGTGCTCCCCATGGCCCACAGACACCCCAAAGGTGCCCCCACAGCACCCACAGGGCACCCCGTGTGCACGGCGGGCACCTCCCCTGGCACCCCAGACCCCACATGAACTCCGAAACCCCAGAGACCCCCGAAGCACCCCGAGGGCGCCCCTCACCCTTTATGGACACCCCCTTGCACCCCACAGACACCGGGGATCACCCCGGCTGCTCCGCCTCGCACATCCCGGGGACCCCACACATCCCGGGGACCCCCGTACCCCCCTCCGGTGCCCACCATTGCCCCCGTAACCGCTCCCCGGTGCCCCTCCCGTACCCCACCCGGTGCCCCCCGTGCTCCCCGGTGCTCCCCGGTGCCCCGGCCCCACCATGGTCCGTCCGGCCCCGCTCGGCTCCGCTCCCGCGGCGGCCCCGGACCCGCCCCGCCTGCCCGGGGCTTCC